GTGGGTCTAAGTCTCTGGGCGATGCCATATTAGATGACATGTTTCCTTCTACAGGATCCTATGAGGACAAAAAGCATTCACTGATTCGTCACAAACGGTTACAAAACTTTCACCATTCATGAATGTTGTTGTCTTACATATTTACCTCTTCACTTGTTGCCAGTGATGAAAGGGAGTCTGATGTGCTTGTTATTTTGCTAAAGTTTGCATTCCCGGGTTTTTTTGACCCTAACAGCCATCCGTTGGTAAGGTCCTACTAAATACAAAAATACTGCTTGCTTGCAATGATTTACTGCCCCCTTTCATCAGGAAAAATACACACTGTCACTTTAGGAAGTGTCGTAGGGCTGGGCGACATGGCCTCACATCAATATCACGACATATTGAGGATTTCACCCCGATAACGATAAATGGATGATTACTCCTCCTTGAACCGTCACCTTATCGTGGTGGAGGAGTTTGAGTGCCCTAATGATCCTAGGAGCTATGTTGTCTGGGGCACTTAGTGCCCCTGGTAGGGTCTCCCATGACAAATTGGTCTTAGGTGAAGGGTGAGACAAAGAACGGTTCGAAGGATCTTTCATGGCGGTTAAAACGAAGAGTCGGAGTACCCGGCCCGGAGGGTTACCGGGGTCCCACCCTGGAGCCAGGCCTGGGGTTGGGGCCCGTGAGCGAGCGCCTGGTGGCCGGGCTTTCGCCCATGGGGCCCGGCCGGGCCCAGCCCGAACCGGATACATGGGCTCGTCCAACTGTGGACCCACCACCCGCAGGAGGAACATGAAGGGTCCGGTGCAATGCGAATCGGGTGGCAGACCAAGGCGGGAGCCTTGGCGGTCCAATCCCCGGACAAGAAAACTAGTTTTTGGGACATGGAACGTCACCTCGCTGGCGGGGAAGGAGCCGGAGCTTGTGGCAGAGGTTGAGCGGTACCGGCTAGATATAGTCAAACTCACCTCGACACATTGCATTGGCTCTGGAACCCGAGACCTGGAGAGGGGTTGGACACTCTACTTTGCTGGAGTTGCTCCGGGTGAGAGGCGGAGGGCTGGGGTTGGCTTTTTGTTAGCCCCGAGACTCTCTGCCTGTGTGTTGGGGTTTACCCCGGGGGACAAGAGGGTAGCTTCCTTGCGCCTTCGGGTCGGGGAACGGGTCCTGACTGTTGTTTGTGCTTATGGGCCAAATATCAGTTCAGAGTACCCACCCTTTTTGGAGTCCCTGGGACGAGTGCTAGATAGTGCTCCATCAGGGGACTCCATTGTCCTGCTGGGGGACTTCACTGCTCACGTGGGCAATGACAGCTTGACCTGGAGGGGTGTGATTGGGAGGAACAGCCCACCTAATCTGAACTCGAGCGGTGTTTTGTTATTGGACTTCTGTGCAAGCCGCAGTTTGGCCATAACGAACACCATGTTCGAACATAAGGATGCCCACCGGTACACTTGGTACCAGGGCAGCCTAGGTCACAGGTCGATGATAGATTTTGTAGTCGTATCATCTGACCTGCGGCCGTATGTTTTGGACACCCGAGTGAAGAGAGGGGCGGAGCTGTCAACTGATCACCACCTGGTGGTGAGTTGGATCAGATGGCAGGGGAACATGCCGCGTAGACCTGGCAGACCCAAACGCATAGTGAGGGTCTGCTAGGAACGCCTGGCAGAAGAACCTGTCAAGACGGTCTTCAACTTCCACCTCCGGCAGAGCTTTGACCACGTCCCGAGAGCAGTGGGGGACATTGAGTCCGAGTGGGCCTTGTTCCACTCTGCGATTGTCGAGGCGGCTGTTGCTAGCTGTGGTCGTAAGGTGGCCGGTGCCAGTCGTGGTGGCAACCCCCGTACCCGCTGGTGGACACCAGAGGTTCGGGGAGCTGTCAGGCTGAAGAAGGAGGCCTACAGGACGAGGCTGGTCTGTGGGTCTCCGGAGGCAGCAGACAGGTACCGGATAGCCAAGCGGGGTGCAGCAGTGGCAGTTGCCGAGGCAAAATCTCGGGCGTGGGAGGAGTTTGGTGAGGCCATGGAGAAAGACTATCGATCGGCTCCAAAGAGGTTCTGGCAAACTGTCCGGCGCCTCAGGAGAGGAAGGCAGCAACTCGCTCACACTGTTTACAGTGGGGATGGGGAGCTGCTGACGTCAACTGAGGCTATAGTCGGACGGTGGAAGGAATACTTTGAGGAGCTCCTCAATCCCACCAATGCGCATTCCGAGGAGGAACCAGAGCTGGGAGGCCTGGTGATGGACTGTCCGATCTCGGGGGCAGAAGTTGCTGAGGTAATCAAACAACTACACAGCGGCGGAGCCCCGGGGGCGGATGAGGTTCGTCCTGGGTATCTTAAGGCTATGGATGTTGTAGGGCTGTCATGGTTGACACGTCTCTACAACATTGCGTGGTCATCGGGGGCAGTTCCTAGGGAGTGGCAGACCGGGGTGGTGGTCCCCATCTTTAAGAAGGGTGACCTGAGGGTGTGTTCCAACTATAGGGGGATCACACTCCTCAGCCTCCCTGGAAAGGTCTACTCCAAGGTAATGGAGAGGAGGGTCCGATCGATAGTTGAATCTCAGATAGAGGAGGAGCAATGTGGTTTTCGTCCTGGCCGTGGAACTGTGGACCAGCTCTATACCCTTGCAAGGGTGATGGAGGGGGCATGGGAGTTTGCCCAACCAATCCACATGTGCTTTGTGGATTTGGAGAAGGCTTATGACCGTGTCCCCAGGGGCACCCTGTGGGGGACGCTCCAGGAGTATGGGGTGGGTGGCTTTCTGTTAAGGGCCATTCAGTCCCTTTACCAGAGGAGCGTGAGTTTGGTCCGCATAGCCGGTAGTAAGTCGGACCTGTTCCCAGTGAGGGTTGGACTCCGCCAGGGCTGCCCTTTGTCACCGGTTCTGTTCATCACTTTTATGGACAGAATTTCTAGACGCAGCCGTGGTGTGGAGTGTGTCGAGTTTGGTGGCAGGAGAATCTCGTCTCTGCTTTTTGCGGATGATGTGGTCCTCCTAGCTTCATCCAGCTCTGACCTTCAGCTCTTGCTGGGTAGGTTCGCGGCCGAATGTGAAGCGGCTGGGATGAGGATCAGCACCTCCAAATCTGAGACCATGGTTCTCGACCGGAAAAGGGTGGCTTGCCACCTCCGGGTCGGGGGAGAGGTCCTACCTCAAGTGGAGGAGTTTAAGTATCTCGGGGTCTTGTTCACGAGTGAGGGTAGGAGGGATCGGGAGATCGACAGGCGGATTGGTTCGGCGTCTGCAGTGATGTGGACGCTGAGCCGATCTGTCGTGGGGAAGAGGGAGCTGAGCCAGAAAGCCAGGCTCTCGATTTACCGGTCGATCTACGTCCCAATCCTCACCTATGGTCATGAGCTTTGGGTAATGACCGAAAGAACGAGATCGCGGATACAAGCGGCCGAAATGAGTTTCCTCCGTAGGGTGGCCGGGCTCAGCCTTAGAGATAGGGCGAGGAGCTCAGACATTCGGGAGGGACTCGGAGTAGAACCGCTGCTCCTCCGGATCGAAAGGAGCCAGTTGAGGTGGTTTGGGCATCTGGTCAGGATGCCTCCTGGACGCCTCCCTGGGGAGGTGTTTCGGGCATGTCCTGCCGGCAGAAGGCCCCCGGGTCGACCCAGGACACGTTGGAGAGGTTACATCTCCAATCTGGTCCGGGAACGCCTTGGGGTCCTGCCGGAGGAGCTGGTGGACAAGGCCGGGGAGAGGACGGCCTGGAGCTCCCTAGTTGGGATGCTGCCCCCGCGACCCGGACCCGGATAAGCGGAGGAAGACGAGACGAGAGACAACATGTATACGCAGAAACAAACGTTGCCCACTAGATGGAGCTGTCACATGTATCACGTTGAGTCACGTTTTTACGTGACTCAAGGTGATACAGCTTCTTAAAGGGACTTGAATGTTGCCAACCTACACACATCTTTTCATTTTTTATAATCAAATTTATTGACATGGGAAAAATTATTTTGTTAAGAGTCAGAAATTTCAATTACGATCAATTTTCGTTTCATTGCCCAGCCCCACCGTGCAGTGAAGTGGCTTTTTGCACATCACATTCTTGGAAATGGAAACTGAAGAATCATAAGATAGATCATTCTCAAGACTCCACCCAGATGCAAACACAGCTCAGATGGCCTCTATCAGAAAAGTTCACTGATGTGCAGAGGTATATTCATAATGAATATCAAATCAGAATGATGCAAATCAGAAATGTTTTTTTCCCACAAACTGTGATGAAAATACTGTTTTTGGCTCTGTTTCAAGGTCTCAAGGACTTGCACTTGCTGATGCCGCTCTCTGACATGGCGATAAACTTTGAACCACCTAGGGCAGGCTTATTCAATTCTGGGCCTCAAGGGATGGTATCCAGCATGTTTTAGTGGTTTCTCTGCGCCAACACACTAGATTCAGTGGTTATATCACCTATGCAGCAGCTCCTCAGGCCCTGAAGAAGCCTGTTAATCACCTGCTGATTGAAATCAAGTGTGTTGAACCAAAACGTGCTGGGTACCGGCCCTCGAGGTCTGGAATTTAATAGCCCGATCTAGGGCAACTAAACAGTTTTGGCTTGCTTTTAGCATCTGCTAGTGATCGTTCGTAGAACCAAACACAAAACATATCTCCTGCTGTGCACTTGTCTTTTTAACACCTTAATCAAAAAGTTGAAACATTTCCCAGCCTTCCTTATTGTCTACAGGAGTGATTCATCACTAAACTAAACATCAGCTGTGTTCATGATCTAAAACATGCAGGAAACGTATTGGAACCAGACTGCAGAGCCAGGTGTGTCAGCTGTACTGTTGTGAGGGTGAGTGTGGATCCGAAATCAGGTGAGTGAGGAGCAAAGATAAAGTCTTTATTGAATGCTTGGCAGCAGACAGGCTGGATAAATGGAACTAATGCAGACGATCCGACAAAACACACAGAAGTAACAGGGCTTAAATACACGAGGACACAGGTGATTAAGAAACGAGAGGCAGGTGGGACCAATAAACGCCGATGAGACAATGCACAGACACAGGAGCTGGGGAGCTGGCGATCATGAGAGTGACATCAGCTCACCAGCTCCAAAGTCCCAACAGAGCGGCCCACCAGTCTGAAGTTGCAAGTGGAATATTCTGGCCACGAGGGCAATAGGGTGGCCTTTCATTAACCTTGTTAAGGGTCATTTTAGCACATGCTGAAAATGATTTAAAAATCTGAAAAAGTTGCAAAGTATCCCTTTGAGATGCTTCTTAACTCATTCACTGCCATTGATTACTAAAGTCATCATTTTAAATCCAACAGTTCACTGCCAATGAGGACTAAAGTCGCCATTTGCATTTTTTACTGTGTGGGCGTCGGACGAGCCCCCGCACCGTGAGAACAAACATCTCAACTCTAAAGCCGATCTTCATCTGCATACGTTACACGTCACATGATCATGAAGCAGAAAATCCACGTGTTAGGAGATCATTTTGGGCCGCTACTGTAAAAAAAGGGAGGCGCGAACCGGAAAAGCAATTCAACAACGGATTGTGAAAGAACGGATAACGCTTGAAACGTGCGGATTCTTCCTTATGTAAGAGGTGAGTCTCCGCTTTGTTTTGGTTGTTTTGGCGTCGACATCATCCTAGCGCGCAATGCTCTGTAGCTCTTAAAAAAACAGTAAAAACGGTGAGAAACGCTGGCAGCGAAGGCCTTTACCTATCAGGAAAAAGCTGGCAGCGAATGAGTTAACCTGTAGTGATTGAAGAAGAAAACCTTTGCATGTTCTGTTCGTGTTAGGAGCTTCATTAGAACATCTTGAAAACATTTGGGAGAGTTCTAAATATCTTCAGGTGAGTCACAGGGCCTTACTTTCACTTTGCCGGGCTTTTGAAATGATTCACAATATTTTTTTGACCTTTTCTCTTCCAACAGTCTCAGAGTCTTTGGCAGACATCTCAAACCCACCTTGAACTCTTCTCAGTTTAGTATCCATGAGTCAGAAGGTGTGTGAGATCTGTAACAACTTTGGGAAGACTTTGCAACTAGATGCTGTAAAAAAAAAGTTAACACTCTTCTACACCTGTTTTAGCTTCTGATAGAAAACAGGCGGTGAAACTCAAGGATTAGAAAAGCCTGACAGATCTACGTCACACTGTCACTTAACATTCATGGACTCACCCATCTGGACTCATGACAGGGAAGGCTGTTGTTGTTTTAGCTTCCAGGAAACAGCAAAGGACGTCTCCGCTAGTAGAAGCTAACCGTTAGCATTAGCAACTCCACCAGACAGCAGAACTCCCCCAGTCTTGTGTTATTTGTGAAGATAAAACATTGATGTTGTAAAGCAAACAGTCAGTTATAGAGGGGTTGCTGCTAGCCAATCAGAGGCAAGATGTCCAAATATCAGGATATAAGACTCCAAATCCTGCCTTGATCTGCTACCTTCTACTCCAGCTGACTTTCACTTTCTCAAATTGGTGCACCAGGGATTTTTTTCTCCCAGAGAACAACTCACAAGTCTTTCATTCCTACTAGAAACCACTGCAAACGTATTAAAATATGAGTAAATTTGACCCTTAAAACTCACAAAAATGTCACAATTCATTTGATTGCACACCCAAAGGTCAAGTATTCACATCAAAATGACCAGAAATGAACTTTTTAATTTGCAGACACAAACATCCCATCTGTCTGACCTCCAAACCAGAAAATGCTGCACAAGGCCTTGTCACCAGATAAAGGAGACATAATAAGGGCCAGCCGCCTTATCGTGGCTGGAACAAAAGTCATGCAGGAGACAAGACTTCTGCATCCTCACTCTGAATAAAGTTTATCGTTCTTGAATCATAAATGACTTTTAAAAACTTGATAATTGCATAAGTGTTATATAATTATCTCTTGTTAAATGCCTAAGTGTTTGAATAATGTGTGCATTAATCTATGATGTGTTAAAATGAGTATTTTTCCTGCAATGGTTCATTTCAGATCTTAAACTACACCAGATCAGTATGTGTTGCTTTAACACATGAATCTGTCAGTATACTCATACATCACAAGATCAATAATGAGGTTTTAACATTCACTTCATGTTTATGTGGAAAGACATTTTCACTTCACACTGAGCGTTGACCTCTGAGTATCTGAGTGAAGGAGCGATTTCTGAGGCATTTTGGTAACGCCCTCTTAAACGTGTCAAACTCTGATTTGTCTAAGTTTATAAACACAAGTTAATAACGGCTAGAACACCAATAGACTCTGCACGATTGCGTTGGATGGTTTCATAAATAAAGTTTAGCTTATCAAACCATACAGCCAAACTGATGCTATAACCCAGACACCACAAGCTCTCTCAGATACTTAGAAAGGTTTTGCTAAAACATCTGTACAACCATCATCAAGTACAATCATTTAGTTTAGAAAATAGAATTAAAATCATTTTAATAACTTTATCCTGACTCTGTCTGGTTTATTATGAAGTGTGTGTTTCCTGAATAAGTCAAAGAAACTAAAGTCTTCGGATTAAACATTCAAAGACCAATCAGATTGATATTTCATATTTATACAGAACATCACATCTTATTGATTGTTTAATATATATGTAGTCAATCCTTAACACTACAGTTTACATTTACTTAGTTTACCCAAAGTGACCCTTTAATTGATAAAACTTATCAGAAAACTACCTAATGCTCTTTTTCATTGTAATTCTAACTAAAAATTTTACATTTTTGTCCCAATTCAGTGTGTTTGACAACCACAGCTCAAAGACACTCTGGTTTTAAAACAAGAACCATGCTCAGGACAGAAACAGCAGAATTTAGCTGTGGTAGCAAAAATTTGCATTCAATAGCAGCGAGGGGGAAATGAAGAAGGTCTATCTGCAACATTTAAAATCCAGCTGTTTCACAGTCTTTCCCTGTAGTTAAATCTGTCTCAGCACAATTGCTGACACTGGTTCTCACAGTAAAGAAAACAAAAGCCCAACACGCTCCTATCAAACTGTTACTTCAATCTCCCCCTTTACCCCTCTTTCATCCCATGTCATTCTGCCTTGTATCTGGCTAGGACTTACAAGTCTCCGACTGTGACATAAGGGATTCCAAGTTGTCCACTTCTAACAGATTACACAAGGATGCAAGACAAAAGGACAGCAACATGGCCCATGCATTTATTTGCCTTTGTGAAGGGTGAGGGAGGGTTTAGAGGTGGATTTGAGAGGAAGGGAGCATGGAAAAAATAGGAATGGAGAAATACAAGAAGAAACTTACAAGAAATGATATTTATCTTTAGGTTAAGAACAGATGGTAAAATAAAGTAAAGAAAAGAGAGAGGAAAGGGAAGCAGTTTTTGTACTCTCCCTTGTTATCACTGGTCCAGGCCTGCATCGTTATTCTACCAGGAGAAAATGCTAATCATTAATCTCAGGCTGCGTGCTACATCTCTGTTTAATGGCTGATAGGGGCGTCTCCACAGGCTGCTTCGCTTCTTTGTTTAAAATGACACATAATGGGACCGAGCCTTATCAGCATCTCAGTGCAGTCTCCATGCCTCTTACTGGCATTGTGGTCCGATGTAAAGGAAGGAGAAGAAGAAAGCTACGATTGATTTTGAGCCAGGGATAACTTAATCCATCAATTTAACCATGAACTGAATATGCAAAAAGTGATGCAGGGAGGGAGGGGGGAGGGCAACATCAAAGAAAAAAAGAGGGAGAAAGAGCGAGAGAAAGAACAGATGGATAGAAGTTGGATGTTTCAACCAAAGACGTGCTTTCACTGTCAAACCAAGTCCAGCAATGAACTGTCATGTTTGGAGGAAGGTACCTAACCCAAGACATGCAGAATGCAAAACAGACTAAAAACGGATGGTAAAATGATTTATTTATAACAGAGGAACTTAGGATGCACAGATAAGTCTGTGGTTGGAACTGCTACGACAGCTCAGCGTCTGGAGGAGGGAGAACACAGGTGAGCATAGGTTCTGATTCAAAAGTCCATTGTAGGCAGAGGTGTTCAGCAGAACTTACTGTGGGGTGAGTATGTGTTGGCTGGAGGAGGGAGAGGTAGAGAGCCGGGGGGGAAGCGCAGGAGAGGGAGCATAGGTGGAGAGAAGCGGGGCGTCCTGGTGGATGGGGCACTGGGTTGAGATGAGAGGTGGGTTATGAAGGTTGGTGATAAGGTCCGCGTGCTGAATGTCCAAATCCTGGAGTAGAGGTTAGTATCCAATGAGACCGACAGGAATCCTGAAGAAGGGTAAAAAATCCAAATATACTAAGAGCAAAAACACTACGAGGAGCAAAAAACACTACGAATAACATCAATCCTAGAACTACTAGAGGTAACACGAGTGGCTGGCTACTATCAAAGCTGAGGCAATCTTCCGGCGTCAAATTGTGTCCTCCATCCACCTTAAATAGGAAAACACCTCGCTGATTGCTGATCAGGAACAGCTGGGCCACTCCCTCTCCTGGCAAGAGACTCACAGATGGTTAAGAGAAAAGGAGTACTCACCCCGGCTCATGACATGAACGTGTCATCATGAATAGGGAAGCCTTCCAAAGTTACCCCTCACCAGTGTTTCTGGTCAGCCATGGCAGCCTAGTGAAAGAAAAAAACATGTTTTACACCAGAAAGAGATACAACTTCCATCCATCCATCCATCCATCCATTTTTTGTCCACTTATCCGGAGTCAGGTCGTCAGGTCGTCAGGGCAGCAGTCTAAGCAGAGAGGCCCAGACTTCCCTCTCCCCAGCAACTTGGGCCAGCCCCTGCATCGGAATCCCAAAGCGTTCCCTGGCCAGCGTGCCCGTAGTCTTCCTTTAGGGCAGACCTGGGCATTTTACGGCCCGCGGGCCACATACTGCCCTTTGGTTGACTTTGACCGGCCCGCGTAAGGTTAATTGGAAATTACAAAATAAATGTATTTTCTCATTTTACCTCATGCATGGGTAAGGCTGCATTGCTTTTATTTTGAAGTTGTTTTTTACGTGCAAAATGACGCAATACGTATAGCAACAAGTGCCCGCGGTTGACATGGTGATTGTAGCCCCAGAAATGTCCGCTCATGCAAAAAAAAAAAAAAAAAAAAAAAGAAAGAAAGATGCCAAATACAGGATTTTCAACAAAAATTGGACTGCTAAGTTTTTTTTTTTACTGAAGTCGGAGGCAAAGCCGTGTGTTTGGTTTGCGGGGAGGAGATTGCCGTGTTTAAGGACTACAATTTGAGTCGGCATTACGACAAGAAACACTCGGAAAAATACAAGAACTCATCTGATGCTGAGAGGGCACGGACATCCGAAGCTTTGCTAGCAAAGTTGCAAAAGCAGCAAGGCTGTTTTACTAAGCTTCACACATCCAGGGATGCAGCAACCAGGACCAGCTTTGTGATATCCCACAAAATAGCTAAAAACAGCAAGCCGTTTTCGGAGGGAGAGTTCGTCAAAGAGTGCATGGTGGACTCCGCAGCACTAATATGCCCTGAAAAAAAAGGCGCATTTGAGCAAATCCCGCTGTCCAGGCGAACCGTGACCAGGAGGATCGAGGACATTGCGGGGAACCTGGAGCTTCAGCTGCAACGTGAAGTGGCAAGTTTTGACTTTTTCTCATTGGTCTTAGATGAAAGCTGTGATGTCCGGGGGATAACGGAGCTCACAGAGGAGCTGGCAGCAATGCGGTCGATGAAAGGGACAACGACAGGGAATGATCTTTTTACAGAGGTAAATGCGTGCACGGACACTCTGGGATTGAAATGGGAGAGACTGTCAGGTGTCACAACAGACGGTTGTCCAAATAAAATGTCGGACTTTTGAAACGCATGCAAGATAAAGTGACAGAAATCGATGCAGATCAAAAATTGGTGTTTTTGCATTGTATTATACACCAACATGTGTTGTGCAAGTCAGTGCTAAAAATCAACCATGTTACTGATGTTGTTACTAAAATAATGAACTTCATCAGGGCGCGGGCCATGAATCACAGACAGTTTGTGGCTCTTTTGGAGGACTCCACACAGCTGTCAGATGGCTCAGCCTGGGGAAAGTGCTGACAGGGGTTTGGGACTTGAAAGCAGAGATTCAGGATCTCTGCTGGATTTCTACTCTTCTCTTAAGGAGGAGAACTTTCCAAACCTGAGGAGACATGCTCAGAAGATGTTGGTTTTCTTCGGCTCTACATACATTTGTGAACAAACATTTTCAATGAGGAAGTTTACAAAATCCAGGTATAGATCCTCTCTCACTGATGATCATTTGTCAGCTGTGCTTCGCATCTCCACCTCAGACATTCAACCTGACTTTGATGCACTCGTTAAAGCCCAGCAGAGACTTGATTTCTCTCATTGAATAAGAAAAAAAAATCGCTTAAAAACACAAAATAAGGTGTTTGGACCACAAATGTAGGCAACTAGAAGTGAACTGGGACACTTTTTTTTATACCTCTTTCTCAAGATCACAGTTCAGTGATTTTATTTTACAGACAATACTGTGTGTCTGTAGAATGCTAAGAACCTCTTTCCAACACTATTTGAAACTCAAAATGTGTTTTGGAGTGAATGTGACTGAAACTGTTAACTAATATAAGTCACAAATGTTTAACAAAAACCAAATGCGCACTTTGTTTACCATTGCCTTGGGAAATTTGAATAAATCACATTTTTGTAAGCCAACCTCACTTTTTCCTTTTTTCTCATTTATAACACATAGTCTACTCTTACCAGCTTGAAAAAACGATGGTATTTACTTCTTTTTATAAAGAAATACCATTAATATTATGCATAATTTACTTCAGCCTTTTGGCTTGGCCCTCCACAATATTTTCTATTTCTCATGTGGCCCCATGGAAAAAATAATTGCCCACCCCTGCTTTAGGGTCTCCTCCCAGTTGGACGTGTCTGGAGAACCTCACCAAGGAGGCGTCCAAGAGGCATCCTGACCAGATGCCTGAGCCACCTCAACTGGCTCCTTTTGATGTGGAGGAGCAGCGGGTCTGCTCTTCCGGCTCAGCTCTCTCTTCACCATGACAGATCGATTCAATGCCCGCATCACTGCAGATGCAGCACCAATCCACCGATCGATGTTGCGCTCCATCGTTCCCTCACTCATGAACAAGACCCCAAGCTACATTTTTATCTGTAATTATTCTGTTTTGATTCAAAAAGGGATGTATGGATACAACTGGATGTATGCTGATAAACCTTTTCTGGTTTTTCAAGAACAGATATACTTTTATTCATCTACAGGCAGTGTTTGTTGGCTGTCTGGTCTCTTTATCTATGTCCATCAGAGGCGAGTGGACTTAAAGACCCTATTTTTTTAGAACCCAAACACAGAGGTACACTGCAAAGTCTCTGACCACCTCTAGGAGTTCCATTATCGGTCAGAGGGAAAATAGTGATGAGGATGATTTGAGTCAAAATGTCAACATCAGTAAGAATGATTTAAAAGAAGAAGCTCTTTTATTTAGAATTTTCTTCATCAACAATCTGGGAGACTTCCAGTCTGGCTCATTGACTGATGCCAGTTAAATGAGTTTGTAAAATAATCTTGCCAGTCTGTTGCAGGTAAAACAAATAGCTTTTTCACTGGATTAAAGTATGAATGTCTGAATTACCCACGTTTTTAAACACTATAACCTATTCCTTTACGGTGGGGTTCACTGATTGTGTAGGGAGAAACTTTACCAGTGTTACATAGGACAGCATACTGCAGCCTCCTGCTGACCAGATAGGGCACTTATCAGTTTTGTGGAGTGGGTATGGGCCCTAGGGGGCGCCCTTTACCTGCTTAATGACTGTTAGATATTTTCTGTGCCATATCTAATACAAAGGCTAGCAGTTAGCTTTTTTACTTTGCCGGCCTTCAATAAAAACCCAATGGGTGTTTCTCAGTGTCAAAGCACCTGGCCTTGCGAGGCGATGTCTTGCGAGTCCAGGCGCCTTACTTACGAGGACACGGCCCTTCCTTGGTCAAAGAAAACAGTTAAATGGAACATGGTGGTCACGTAACGTCACGTGACACAGGAGATAACGTTATATTTTATACATATTAGTTTATATATAAATATATAACAAGCTTTTTACTTTTTAAATTGTGCATATATTTGTTAAATTAAATATATAAGCGAGTTACTACCCACTAGCCACCAAAGCTGCAACTAATAAGCAACTAACCAACCATAGATAACTCATTTGGATCTAAAAAAAGCATTTTAAAATAGTGGACTTACTGTCACGGTGTAGGAGGTGGAGATGATGGACCATGTGTGGTTGAGCTGAGCAGGAGGAAAAATGCAGGCTTCAGTAAAAGTAAAAATGGTTTAATGGTAGGATGGGATGAACAGGAACACCAGCAACAGCAACAACAATGAACTGACAAAGGACAGGGGCAAAACAGGTGGTTTAAATACAGAGGGCTAATCAGGGAAACATGGACAGGTAAACGAGGGACAGGTGAGAACAATAAGGGTAATCATGGCAGGAGAGGAACACAGACAGGCGGGCAAGGGCAGATTGTGACAGTACCCCCCCCCCCCCCCCCCCCCCCTTAAGGGCGGATACCAGACGCCCATAAGGCCACACGACACAGGAGACTGGACAGGGACTGGACGGGGACTCGGAGACTGGACGGGGACTCGGAGACTGGACGGGGACTCGGAGACTGGACGGGGACTGGACAGGACTGGAACATGGACTTGACAGGGCTGGACAGGACTGGAACATGGACTGGACTGGAACAAGCGTGGAACCCAGGTAGAGAACTGCAGGAGCAGGCGTGGAACCCAGGTAGAGAACTGCAGGAGCAGGCGTGAGACCCAGGTATAGAACTGCAGCAGTTGGCGTGGGACCCGGCAGGGGCTGCAGCAGTAGGTGTGGGACCCGGCAGGGGCTGCAGCAGTAGGCGTGGGACGCGGCAGGGGCTGCAGCAGTAGGCGTGGGACCCAGGCAGAGAACTGCAGGAGCAGGCGTGGGACCCAGCAGAGGCTGCAGCAGCACGAAACCTGCAGGCATAAGCCCCACAGCGTGGACCAGGAAGTGGACAAACGGCAGGAGCGATGCGAGGGAACCCAGCTCGGCGGCAGGTGCTCGACAACCGGTCAGAGCAGGTACACGGCACGATTAGCTGGGTCTCAGGCAGAGGCTTGGGTGCAGGGAAGCAGGAGAAGAGCGGGGAGACCAGCCCTACCACCCCGGAGAACGATGGCGTGCGTAGGGGGTGTAACTCCCTTGTAGCTCCAGGATCCGCGGCTTCCATGTGACACAAACGGGGCGGGGGCAGAAAGCAGGAGAAGAGAAGGAATTCGACCAGCCCGGGAACGAGTAGGATGCGCCGAACCCCCTCAATGGTTCGACCACCCCGGAGAACAGGTAGGATGCGCCAAACACACTGAGTCCAGAATCTCCCTCCGCTAAAGGAGAAAAAGTAAAAAAAAATTAATCCTCCAGGGAGATGCAAAAAACTCACCACAGGTCCAGGTTGTGGTCAGTTCATTCTGTCACGGTGTAGGAGGTGGAGATGATGGACCATGTGTGGTTGAGCTGAGCAGGAGGAAAAATGCAGGCTTCAGTAAAAGTAAAAATGGTTTAATGGTAGGATGGGATGAACAGGCACACCAGCAACAACAATGAACTGACAAAGGACAGGGGCAAAACAGGTGGTTTAAATACAGAGGGCTAATTAGGGAAACATGGACAGGTAAACGAGGGACAGGTGAGAACAATAAGGGTAATCATGGCAGGAGAGGAACACAGACAGGCGGGCAGGGGCAGATTGTGACACTTACTTTCAAACTTGAAATTTGCCACTGAAGTAGTTGCCGGCTTCTGATCCAACCGTCCTTTTGAAAATACTGCAGTGTATTCTGGGAAATTTTTGACTTAGGCTAAGCTACAAGATGCTACAAGACACCTCCCGTGTATCCTCGCTCAGCTAGCTAAACAGCTTACAAACAGAGAACACACGTCTTGATACAACATGAACACTGGAACACTTCTTGGCGGCTCCTGATGACGTATCTCCTAGGCAACCGGGGCAGGGCCAAGACATGGAGGCGAGGTTCCTTGGCATTGAGAAACAGGGACTGCTTTGCTGGCATCAAGTTGGAGTCTGGAAGTAAATGTCAGAGAATTATGTCTCTAGAGGTGATATAATGGGCTGAAACCAGAGTGAACATTGGCACAGCCTACACTAGTCTGAGAAAGGTAAAGGCAGCTTTATTGCTACTGCACTTGTAAGTAAAAAAAAAATTATATACTTTTTAATTTGTGTTTTTTTAGTATCATTTATCATTTTATTTTTAACCTGTTTTTAGCACTACAGCAGGCTGCTGCATGGTTGTTTGTGACAGTTGTAATTACAGTTTCAACCAGTAGGGTGGATAATGTGGAAATGTTTTACTGTTACTTTAAAAAATACCCACTGTGTACTGTACCCAATTTTGAAGAGGAAAGAGCAGACCAGGTCATTTTTAGAATTCAGGTGGTGCTGTATCATCCAATACGTCCACCCATCCATTTCCTTTACCCGCGTATCCTCACAGGATAACGGGGGGCTGGTGCCTATCTCCATCAGTCTCTGGTGGGGTAAACCCTGGACAGAGTGCCAGTCCATCGCAGGCAACACAGACACACAGGACAAACAATCATGCACACACACACACACTCACACCTAAGGACAACTTAGACAGACCAATCAACCTAACAGTCATGTGTTTGGACTGTGGGAGGAAACTGGGGTACCCGAGAGAACCCACACATGCAGATGGAGAACATGAAAACTCCATGCAGTAAGACCCCAGGCTGGGATTCAAACCCAGGACCTTGTTGCTGCAAGGCAACAGCGCTAACCACTGCACCACTGTGCAGCCCACATCCAACAGGTATAATGTAAAAATGGGTTGATTATAATCTGCTGCATATCTGTTAAGGATATTCAAATTAACAATGTTTCATTAGCCTAATATCAAATTCAATGTTTTAATATAAAAACAACTTTAAATAATTCCAACAATATATTTATTCCAGTGTTTTACACAAAATTGCCTAAATTATATATATATATATATATATATATATATATATATATATATATATATATATATATAATAACAGAAAATCAAATGATCCGGATATTTTCACTTCCTCACTGCTTTGCACTTACAGAGTGGGGCTGTTTATGGTGGTTTCGGGTCAGCTGCTTGTCTGTCATATGATCAAGAGAGAAGAAAAACATTAACATTGAACATGGGCTGGAGCAGATGAAAGCTCCTGGCCTGACTGTCAGTGCTCTGAGGTGATGAGAGACGTCATTACTTATTCATGAATCCTAAATGTAGAGCAGAGGAGACGGGCATGGCTGACCCTGAATATTGTAGGGGGTAGGTTAAGTGTGAGTGTGTATGTGTGTGTGTTGGGTTAGAAACGGCATTCAAGCTGTGTGACTGAATCACCAACTGCAATATTAACTTTATCTTTAGAACTAAGATGAACAAGGATTATATAAATGATCTCTATTTATGTCAAATGTTCTTTCATCACTGGTTTGTTGGGGACTTTGATAATAAAATATGGCTGGCGTACATTGATTATTTTGAAAGTACTTGAAAAACTGAAAGTTTTACAGGAAATTTTTATTTTTTATTAATGTAATCTTTATTATCAGGAGCTCTTAATAATCAGGCCCCATCATATGTTAGTGATCTGATTGTTCTATATGTTCCTCACAGACCACTGTGCTCTGAGACTGCAGGTTTACTGGTGGTTTCTAAAATATCCAAAAATAGGATGGGAGGCAGATCTTTTAGTCATCAGGCTCCTCTCTGTGGAACCAGCTCCCAGCTTTAGTCTGTGAGGCAGACACCTTGTCTACCTTCAAGACTAGGCTTAAAACCTTTTTATTTTGCTAGGGGTAGCCCAGCACCCCCAAGAGCTGGGGCTCCCCATGGGCTCCCCTGGAATCCCTCAACTTACACACCCAGAGGAAGTCTGAAAAGAAATCCAGTTTCAACCAATTTTGCATTTTTATGTGGACTGTCAGTATACCGGTACTACTTTGGAGTGAAGAAGACAGAGAGTGCTGATTGTTGATGCGTTCCAGGCTGCTGCATCTTGTGCACGGTCACAGTAACATTCTCAAAGTGGTGCCATCTAATTAACACACGATTAATTCATGTTTGCTCTAGGGGTGGGCCATTATCGGCTTTACCGTGGTGCGTGAACACCAGACTCTTATCGCGCGATAGAACAATCTGTTCTCAAAGTTGGGTTGGGATTTGGGTTTATACTAAGTAGGCTTTGATGACTTTCACATTGATATTCTAGCGCGGCTGTATGGCATGCATATATACCTTGTATGGTATTAGCCAGCGAGCCGTCCCGCCATCATTTAGATGGCCTGAATTCAAAAGTTACAGATTCATTTCTGGGGTTTAACCTAGCAGGCAGGGTTCAAATAAGAACAAGCCCGGCTCATCTAAAAGGGTGGTAGGCTTCAGTATCCTTCAACTTACACACCCATGGGGAGCCCCAAAAATATGCAATTTCTACCTATTTTACATTAATTATATGTACTCTCAGCATTCCAGAGATTCTTTTCAGTGGAGAGGATGCAGAGCGCTGATCTATGATGCACTCTAGGCATGCTCACAGTAACATTCTCAAAGTGGCACCATCAAAAAATATAATGAACACACGATCGCTCATGTCCACTTAAATTCTTTCTGGTACTTTCTGTCTTTTAGTTGTGCCTGACGCGCTCCGCTGCAGCAAAACTCATCACCTGTGGTCCAGTGACTTCACCTGCATATTCTGGAGGGGCCAAGGCAAAATAAAGCCCCCTCTTACTCGGCTCCAACGGAAGCCTCTGTGTAATTCATACCCCGCCAGTACAGCTCCCTTACTACAGCTAATTCTTCCATTTTAATAATAAACGACGAAAGGCCTCAGGAATAAAACACGAGTCTTAACCTTCCCTGTGCTGCGCAGTCATCAGACTCACAGATCAGCTGATCGAGAGGCAGAAAAAAAGGATAAATCTTCAAACTTATTTTAATATTATCAACACTAAAACACCAAATAATCATTTTACCTGCAGTAATTTGCTAGTTAAGCTCAACCTGTATAAGGAAAAGTAAAACATGAAAACTGATCCAATGAAATTATGACACATAATGACAGGACTTCCTTTTAGTCATTATTTAGTAGCACACACAAATTATGAATGCTTATGGAAGAATCCAAATGAGATATTTCAATCTAGATTAATCTAGATTAATCCCCAAATTACAGTGAGATTAATCTGGATTTAAAAAAAAATATCTATGCCCACCCCTAGTTTGCACATATTCTCTGGTACTGTCTGTTTTTTATTCATGCCTGATGTGTTCTGCTGCAGCGGAGCTCAAAACCTGTCCCCCAGTGACTTTTCTTGTCTGGTGCAGCCATGCACTCTGCTATTTTTGCAGTGGTAGATCACTTTGATCTGCTTAGTTCAAAAGTAGCTCATGAGGTGACAAAGTAGGCAAGCCAAGAAGCCATTTTTCTGGAGGATTGAGAGGAGATGGAGAAGGATTGGAAACTATTCAGGTAAAACATGAAAACAAAAAATAAGTGCTTGAAAAGGAAAATGTAGGCAGCTTTATCTCTACTACATATTTTTAACTGTAAAAAGCAATAATTTATGAGCATGTAAAATGTTTATATTTGATACAGTTCAGGGGCTGCACAGTGGCACATTGGTTAGCGCTGTAGCCTTGCAGCAAGAAGATCCTGGGTTAACATCCCAGCCTGGGGTCTTTCTGCATGGAGCTTGCATGCTCTCCCTTTGCATGTGTGGGTTCTCTGGCTTCCTCTCACAGTCCAAACACATGACTGTTGGGTTAATTCATCTGCCTAAATTGCCCTTAGGTGTGAGTGTGTGTGCTTGATTTTTTTTCCCTGTGTGTTTCTGTGTTGCACTGCGATGGACTGGCAACCTCTTTTGAATTGCTCAATTGCGTCTTGTGTTCTGGCCTCCAGCCTGGCCTCTGGTGATCCAGTAGCCAGGATCACCCAGCCCCAGCGATCAGCCAGACACCGCCCCTCCTCCTCCTCTCCTCCAGGCTACGAGAGGTCCCGGGTTCAATTCCCGGAAGAGCCCCCAATTTTATGTTATGACCCATCTAGAAGGTGCCTGGCTGCAACGTAAAGGATGGTCCACCAATAACCGCCGATCCCAAGCAACCACATCAAAGGGATTATTTACAATAATTTATTAACACAAGAAGAACCAAAGAGTCAGTTAAGGGCTAACTAAGGGTGAGGGAGGATTAGGCTTCAGGGTGAACCAAGGCCAAAGTAACAAACAAAACACCTCTAACTACATCCCGTAAAACCCACAGTGATGTACACACTATGACTGATGCCACTGTCACAACTTAATGAAACTACTGATTTATGCTTGTCTGGTGAATCGAAGGCAACACTTGTTCATATTTTCACACTGGAACTTTGAACTCTGCACGAGTCTCTTTTGAACAACTCTATCTCATATAATCTGTATCCAGTTATCCGGTTTCTTGTTGAACAGAGTTCCTGTGTGATCACAGACTCGTACACAGCACTGCTGGCTGCTAATGTTTCAAAGTAGGTTTGAAATGATCTGTCGTCACAAGACAGAGACAAGACAATAAAGGCAAATTTTCAGGTTGTTTCTGGAACATCCCAGAAATATCATACACATGTACAAATGTAAAAAAATCAACATGAGCTTAAAGCAGGAATCTGGAGATTCCCCTCTTTCAGGATGATCATATGATATGTGTAGTATGATATGTAGTATGATATGGCGACACATATATCATACATATGTGTGTGTGTGTGTGTGTGTGTGTGTGTGTGTGTGTGTGTGTGTGTGTGTGTGTGTGTGTGTCTCACCCTGTACTGGGACATAATGTAAATTTATTTTTGATAAGCCTTCCCCCTGTCCCGTAGAGCCCTTTTCAATATGAGTTGAGCACCATTTAGCACTAGCCAATAGCTGAACACATCCTTATAAAGCGTGCACACCTGTATGCAGGTGAAGCTGAGTTGGCAACATTTCTTGTGGACAGAGAGTCTTTAAGTCTTTTA